CCTTGGTTATGCTAAGAGAGTTCCAAGTGAAATTGAGAGGGTGAGCATAGGGAAAGTGAACTTGAGCATGAAAAGAACAAAGTCAGAGAGAAAATAGTAAGTTAGATAAAACAGGAATCAAAAACAGGAAGTTTAGAAATAATTAGAATAAAATTAAACTATTACATCTCATGGACAAATTACCTTTGCTGGATTTCTAGCTTAGCTCTCATTAGCAGAGTAAATAAGAGTAAGGGCTTCTGAATCCGGAAGCCAGTTGAAATCTTGATTCTAAATCAATTCTATGACCTTGTGCAAGTTGAATACTATCTCCTTAGCTCTCTTTCTTCACTTGTAAACTGAGAATCATATGATATTTTCTACATAATAGGGTTGTTTTGAGGATTAGATGATGAAGTGCATTTAAAGTAGTACAGTGTATATCATAGTGTAACCCTTCATTAAAAGCAATTAGTCACCAAATTGCACATGGGAACAGGCAAAATCTATTCTCAAAAATAATTGTAGAGCAATGATTACTAGAATATAATCCCAAAGGGAATGAGCAGAAAAATGAAGAAGGTATGAAAAAACATAGTTTCATGGCATAGTGACTACATGCCAACTTGGTCATTATATTAAGTTAGAATAGAATAATTGCTACGATTTGTTTGCCTTTTATTGGTTACCACCAAAGTGTAATGATTATAAAAACTAGCATTCTGGGAAAAATTACCTAGCAGAATTTAACGCCTATTTTTTTTTTCTTAAGCCTCATCCAAGTTTTTATTCAAGTCTTATAAAAATGACATGTATAAAAGTTTTCAAATCAAGCATCATCACAAGGATGAAATCTGTCTTTGGATTTATAATGACCCCAAAATCAGGTTTGCTAGAGAAAAATTTTACTTTTGATTTTAGATTTAGAACAAGCACACACATATGTCTTAGATTGAAAACAATTGACTTAAAAATTGTTATTCTGCCCACAGCTACAGACTAGCACCTAAATATCATTTTCCAAGTCAATTTGAAGATGTATATAATGCATTAAGGTGGTTCTTACGCCAAGATGTTCTTGAAAAATATGGCGTAGATCCTGAAAGAATTGGTGTTTCTGGAGACAGTGCTGGTGGAAATTTGGCTGCAGCAGTGGCTCAACAGGTATGAAGCTTAGATTTATTTTATTTTCTAAAATATCCTACATTTAAATATTTTTATTTCAGACATTAAAATATCAATGCAAGTATGTTATATTAATATATTAAATATTAGGATACATAGAGATTAACATTAGAGAAAATTTATCTATCTAGTCCTTCTATTCCTATCTCATGTCAGGTTTCTTTACTTTTCTTAATAAAATGATAACATACTCTTTCTAGATTGTTGGTTTAAACATGATTATTATGGTCAGTTAAGTATCATACTGTTTTGTTATATTAGGAGATGTACATATAAAATCAATCAATGACACCAATCACCATAACTAGAGAATCAGATGATTCCAATATTTTTCAGTGGAGTATGTTAAAACTTGCACAAAGAACCAGTATAATCAAATTGCTCACGGAAAAAAAAAAAAGTTAGCAAGTTCAAAGATACTATTTACTTGCAGGGGAAATCACAATTTCCAGATATTATTTATTCATACTAGTTATATGACATTTAGCTAATGCTAATGCTATACACTTATTAGCTATCAATTTAAAATATTACAAAATTATAATTAGCCTTCTAGATTATGGGTAAAATTGTTTTCGATACTGGTTTTCTGACTTAAGAAACAAAACAGATGTTGATGTTTTAGAACCAATGTTCCTATTGGAAAAAAAATTATATACACTTTGCAAATTAATGTCTACAATTTAATAATTGACTTTAATCACAAATATTTTCCATAAATTTATTATGTATTAAAATATTGCTGTTGTTTATGTTGATTCTATTATTTATTTTTATACATTTTTTTAAGTGTATGAATTTTGGCTATTGACATATTTAAGATAAACTTCTCGTGATTTCTTGCCAAAGGAAAAATACAAATCCTGTGATTTATTCTAATATACTATAGAACAGATACATGCAACTTCCCCCAAATTAAATTTTACCCTGCCTATTCATTGTTATTCCGAGAGGCATCCTGATGCAGTACAAACAACCCATCAGGAGACATGGATTTTTGGAGCTAAAGCAATGTCCCGCTGTGACACTTGGACAAGTCACCCAATCTCTTCAAATATCAATTTCTTTTTACTGTGTTGCATAAGTCTCTCCTGTTATGTAATTCAGGCTTCTATAATGGTAAATCAGTCAATTCTGACCCATAATTATTAAAAATCTGGATAAAACACCTTTTAATAGTCTGTAAAGCTTCAAAGACTTAGATATAGATAAGAAAATACGATACAGAAAATGTCTAGGACAAAAATTTTAAGAAGACAGTAAAAAAAAAAAATCACTAAAAATAATCCTAGCACTCAATGTCCTCTATGACCTAAAGACATACACTAATCAAAAGGAAACAATTAAACCATGATAAGTTTTGGAAGCTTCTCAGGGTTAAAGAGTTAAAGTCAAATTCAAGGGCTCTTCAGACATGAGGACATTCATAAACCACGCCTCACTTTAAGTGAGGCCCTGAAGAGATATGCTCTCAGGGACATGGTGCAGCTGATCTTAAAAACCTCACATCCACTTAAAGCCTTATATCACATAATCTGGATGGTTGGAGGAACCTTAGGACTTGAACTTAAATTAAGTTGGTATGGGTGGTTAATATTCCTGTGTGTTTGACTAAAATGTATAAAAATCCTCTCTGGAGAAATATGGTAT